TGCAGCTCCTTCCCTGTGAAGCTGCTTTCTCTGATCAAATTCCTTTGCTTGCAGCTTTTCCCTGTCCTCACCACCTGCCCTGTGTCTCCATTCCTGTCTGAGCAGTAACAGGGGGTCCAGGATGAATCAAACTCAGCACATCCAGTCCATCACATGATGGTTCTCCACACACCCCATCATCCAGTCTGGATTTCCCCAGTTTAGCTTCAGGGAAACCCTCGGAGACAGCACCAAAGGCCTGGCTAAAGGCAAAGCAACCAAAATCTGCTTCTCTCCTCTCAACCACAGGCCCAACCATTTTATGTCAGAAGGCCACAGTTTGCCTTTGGCAAATCCATGCTGATGTTCCCCATCATCATCCCTCTCATGTACCCATAGCATGGCCTCCAGGGGGATTAGCTCCATAACCTTCCTTGAAAAGGTTCCAGCTCCGGCTGAGCTTTGTCTTTCCTACATCCCTACAATTCCAGGCAATTTGCTGCCTTTGATTCCAGATTCCCTGGGCTTTTACTTTGTGCTGGAGCCCAGTTGGCAGTTCCTTCTTTATCCCTCCTGGTCTCCTGGACACACTCTCAACCCCTGCCCTGGAGCAGACCATTGCTGTGCTTTGGTCCTTCAGGATCAAATGCTTTGCCTCTTGTTAACACAGTCTCCTATGGAAACCTACAAAAATATCCCAAACAAGCCAAAGCCTCCTGCCTGGAAGCTGAAGGCTGGAATTCTCAGCTCCACTTGCCAGCCAGACACAGGCAATGAATTCCAGCCTGCTCTGGAAACTCTGTGTCCTGCCTGTCACACCTGGAGCTGCCACCCAGCACCCACACGAGCACCAGGGCTGTGGTAAAAATCTCCATCTCCTCCCTGCCCTGCAGGACCCAGTCTCCAGCAGACACACACTGCTGTCCTTCCATCCACTGATCCCTGTGCCATTGCTCCTGGCTGCCTCATCACCCTGTCCAAAGTGAGGAAACACTGGAATCAGCCTTTGAGGGTGACCCAATTCCCTGTCCTACCTCCCTGAAGAAGCTGCACCCATCCCGTGGAGCCATCCCCAGATGACTCTCTGATCCCAAAGCCTGTACAGCTACAGCTACACACAGATTTCTAATTTCTCCTCCCTGCTTTCCATGCTGGGAACAATTAATCACATGCAGGATACCCTTGCTTGGACAGAGACCTTTTTCCATGAAAAAACTGAGCTTAAAGAAATTGATAGTTCCATTACAAACAATCCTGACATGGCTCCTGCAGCACAGTATCCACCTCATTCACTCTGAGATCTCACTCCTGTACAAATCACAACACAGTGAAAAAACCCAATTTTGTAGTATAAAAGTACAAAAGCCTCACAAAGCACCTCCCTTCAGTTGTGAAGGTGACACGGTGCCTCTGAAAGGATGGTTTGAAATTGTTCTCCCATAACACAGCATATTTGTTTACAGTCCAGGGCCGTGCTTTCCACAGTGTTCAGGCATCACTCCTGTTTTTCCCTGGTGCCTGAGTACTCGTCAATGCCTTTCACACAGGGTGACAGGGAACCATCTGCCTCCCTCCTCCTACTTGTTGCCACCTGTTCTTTTCCCAGTCCCCACATGGCAGCGTGAGCAGGGCCAGATTCCCTGGACAAGGCTGGGTTACAGCACCAAGAAACCCCAAATGCCTCCGTTACCCCTGAGGGTCTCACCCACCACACACGAAAATGCTGTGAAAGTGATGACAAGGAATGGCTCTGCTCTAATTAAGTGTATCTGCTCCATAACTGGGACATTCAGGGGCTGAGCAATGAGGGTTGGAAGTGAAGCTAGCTGGGTTTGTGTAAAAAAGGGGGAGGAGAGATTTGAGGCTGCTGAGAAAGGCATTCCCAAAGCAGGATGGAGATTCTGGGATAGGCAGGAGTCCTCCGTGGGGGCATCTGCAGGACATCAAACCACTCATCTCTTCATCAAGGAGGCAAAGAGAGAAGCATTGAGACTCAGAAGTCCAAGTGCAGGACAATGAGATCATTAAGGAACTTCCTTCTTTTAGGGAGAATTCCTAAATTCTTCCTGAATGGCAGAGCAGGCAGCAGAGCCACTCCAGTGAAATTCTGAAAGGCACAGAGCACCCAGGGGCAGTATCTGAGGAACAGGGACACAGCTTCAAATCCCAAAGTGGTTGAAAAACACATGAGAGGCTTTTCAAGTCCCTTGCAGAATTCTACACCTCATGTTCAGTACAGGGATAAAGAGGATTTAACTCAAGACTATTGGCCCAAATGTTCCTCCCTCTTCTATCCTTCCAACCTTCTCAATTACAAACACTTGTCCTAAAAGCCTCAGCTCTCAATACCATGGTTCTTTCATATACTCCTGAAAAAGCAAGGGCTGTGGTTTCTGTATGGCCAATCCTTTTCCAGGTGCAAACCTTTCTAAACTTATTAACCGAATTACCAAAGTTTAGAGGAAAAGCCACTCAAGAAGCCTTTCAGTTCTGTGCTTTAACATTTTCCAGAAATAACTTTCCAAGCTACCCAGAACTCACCCCAAACACCAAAAAGCCCAGCCTAAAATGTTGTCTGATGGATGATATTATCAAGCTCATTGTAGGAGATGAGAGTCACAGATAGACTTTATACAGGTTTCTGTGGGGCTGTGCAGAAGGTGAATCACCAAATTCCTGCTCTTTCCCAGTCAGAAATCTGCCCAAACAGAGACAAGCCTGCCTTTGTAGCAGATGAATGTTTTCCCCTCACTGCATTTCAAACTTACACTGCCTTCCAGGAGCACAAAGCACAGATGTGGGACTTCACTTGGTTGAGTGGCCTCCCTGAGAAACTCCCCAGGGCTTCCACTTTCTCATTTGCATTTAGCTCATTCAAGATCAATTTGATAAGCAAAAGGGCTAATGAGAAATGGTTTGTAAATAACCAGATGTTTGCCAATTCCAGCAGGAAGGAGAAAACAGAACAGCACGGGAAGGGAAATGCAGATAACTGGGAAGAACTTTGACGAACACTTAATCAACATTTTTCTCACTGAAGTTACTTTTCAAATTGGTAAAGTTGGCATTTCTCATCAGCAGCTATGAAATAATTAAAAAAAAAAAAGCTTTCTGAATTAATGATTGAAATGTTCAGAGTCGTTTCTGTTCAAATGAGGGGTTTGAATTTTCATACCAAGCCAGCTGCCACTACTGCATGTGATACCTTCTCCCTCTTTCCCAGAACAGTTTCCTTCTCCACTGGTCATGGATTGAGAGAAGGCATTTTAAACCCCAATATCCATATTTCCTCCACCTGTGATTGAGTTTTCACATATCACACTCATTCCTCATGGCACTGCCCACCACAGCCCCCTGCAGAGCACAGCTGCACTCAGGTGTGTTCCATGGGGGTGTCCCACTGCTGGAGAACAGCATCTCAACGGCCCCAGAGTTCAGGGACACGGCCTCGGGTGTGTCTCTACACCCACAGTGAGACTCCAGCACTGCAGCCCAAATCCTCTGGCAGCATGCAAAAGAGAAAGGACATCATGAGCAAAGTCCTGGAGCACGGCAGGGTGAGGTGCCGGAGCAGGAAGGAGAAACCACTGGACAAACAGCAGGGGAGGGGAAGGAAGAGGAGGGAGACCACAGGAACTCCAATAACAACAGTGAGACTCATTTACAAACCACTACTGGGAGCTGGGTGCAAGCACAGGCTTGGGCAGGGCTCCCAGAGCCAAGGCCATTCATTATTCAGTGTTTTAAACGTGGAGAATGTGCAATATTGCTTGTGCTGGAAGGGGCTGCAAACCACTCAGGTGATTCATGCACAGAGCAGAAATTAAATTACTTTTAATAATTTTTCTGGCAATCTGATGACAGCAGGGCAGTGCTGGATGCAGACTCCTGACACTGCTCCGTGGCATTAAAGCTCCTGACTGCAGGAGAGGGCACCCTGCATTCCCCAAATCACTGTGGGGGGTACCTGTGGCTCTTCAGCCAGCAGTGAAACACACCCAGATCCAAAGAGGAATCCAGAGGAAGCAGCAAGTGCACAGCTACTCTACAAAACAACTGGAACATAAGCAGGAAATCTCTCCTTATGGCTCATTCCTAAGTTTACTCTGCCCACTGGACACCAAACCCAGGGACAGCAGATTCACACCTGTTCAAGGTGTGAAGTTCCATCAAATCTCCAACCATGGCTGTTTCTCCTAAATCCTCTCCATCCAAATGAGAAAAAAATTAGAATTTAAAACAATCCTTCTCCAAAAAAGACAACACAAAGCTCCCCCTCAGTATAGTTTTAGTATTTTCTTGTCTGACTTGTTACCCTTCATCCTCTGTCATTTTCTTCCCTGGGCTCTTAGAAATTATTTTTCAGAACTCTGTGACCTGAAAGAGGAAAACAACCTGATGCCTTAGTGATGATACTTGCAGTATCTCTATTTTGGGGTCTTCAGTCATAACACCAATTGTTCTGCTTTGCCACCCCAGCCATTCAATGCAGGGCACTGTATGGGGAGCACTGACAGGAGAGCCACTGGTTGGAGCACAGGGACAAATATTTACCTTAAACTGCAGCTGTAAACCACCAGATGTGCAGCTGCAGTTTGCAGGAATGACAAAGCTCACTATTTTTTACACTAATAGCAGAAAAAAGCTTCTGACACTTAAATGACTTTGATATAAAATGTTTGGGGTGATTTGGGGTGTGCTCCATAAGTGCTTCTTTTCCAGGTTTGTGATTTTAGTGACTGTTTTCATTTTGGCTATTCTGCTATTGCTTGTAAACCTCAGCATGCAACATTTCTGACCAAGTTTTATTAATGCACCAAATATTATTCCAAATACAGGATGGATCCTGTAGAATTCCTTAAATTTTCCCCACTAAGTGTACAGAAAACAACACTGGATCACCCACAGGATTTTTTAAAAATCACCCTGCTCTGAGTTATTGACAGAACCCACCATGTGGAAAGGTCCCTTGGAAAGGTCCCTCCCCACTTCTGGCTCTCTGCTGTCACAGTTTATCTTACCAAGGTCAAGAATGATCAGCTGGGCTCCAGCCTGTGCATTTCCAACATCGTTTTCTGCAATGCACTGATAGAATCCTTCATCAGACTTCACCAGCCCCAAAACTTGCAGGTTATGTTCTTTCTGAGGAGCAAAGGGAAAAAACAACACTTAGAAATGGGCTGCAATTACCAAAACAATGGTGTCAGCAGGATAGAAGAAACTTCTGACAGCAACTGGGGAAAGTGTGTTTGGAGCTCCCAGATCTCACTTCCCTTGCACTAAATCCTCATGTTCTGGTGGTTCAAAAAGCAGCAGAAGCTCTCATTAGTGGCAATAATTTTCTAGCATCACAGAGCACTGGCAAATCCTAATGTTTCCCCAGCTGTTCTGGTGGTACTTTGGACCCTGACTGAACCTCACAGCTCTACAAGCCAGGTACACCCAATTACACAGCCATTCATTCCTCAGCCATATCTCAATAATGCCTTTCACTGCATCTAAAATCTCCCTGTAGAAGCATCCCTGTGCCAAACTCTCCATCCACAGCTCAGTTACATTTCTATTTCAGCTCCTGCTAGAAATTGGAATTTTAATGGGGCACAGACTGCAGCACACGCAGCCAGTGGTCGTGGTGAGCTTGTACTTTGACAGTGCATTTTGCCACCCTGTGTGCCCGAGTCTGCTGGAAAGCCCAAGCTATAAAGACATCAACTCTTACAATGTAAGCAATGTACATTAAAGGGATTCAAGAAACCATTTCTCCTCCAGGCCCCAAACATCAGTAGGACAAAAGCAGGAAGCAGGTTCCATAGAAGAACCCAATTTCCAGGACTGTGTGCAGGACAACTGCCAGACCAACAGCCTGAAAACGTGCCAGATGGCCAGAGCACTCACCACGATTTTGAAGTAGTCACTGGGGATCACCACGTCCCCGTTTTTGACCCACTTGACTGTCGGCGTTGGCTTCCCGGTCACCTCGCACTCGAACACGATGTCCATGGACTCGTGGGCGTAGATGTTCGCAGGGCGCTTCAGGAACGTGGGGGGAACTTCATGGGGAGAGGAATAAACACAAGAAGATGATGTTACAGCCAGAGAAAGAGACCTGACAGTCCCACACACAGCCAGCTCGGCACCAAGAGATGGACTGGGCATGGACTGGGCACTTGGGAATGAGGGGCAGGAATTTGCAGCTCAGCTTTGATAGACACCGACACCAGCTGGGAGTTCCTCTAGAACCACTTCTGGGCCAGCCTGCTCCAGTACAAGGTGTCACGACACCGACACCAGCTGGGAGTTCCTCTAGAACCA